AACAGGGTGAGCTGCTGCAGCCCTTCCTCAAGGAGAAACACTGCTGATGAAAGGCACTGTCATTTCCAGTGAATGCAGTCTGCCAGGGAGACCAAAAGTCTGGATTGCAGGATGAGTTAACCACTTACTGTCTGTTATCTCATCCAGAAAGAGAGCCAGGCTCTGGCTGTGGTACATACACACCTAGCACTATCAATCCCCACTCCTCCTGCCTTCCACAGCAGTTTCGCTGGCTTGGATTAACTCCGCAATCAGTTCTGCACAACAGAAAAGCAAAACTGGTGCAAAGGTCCCTGGGCTCACCTCTGCTCCCTCCTCAGGGGATTCACTTCAGCCAGCTGTGCTCCAGTCCTGGGAAATGGGCTTGGCAAGTGGGCTGCAATAGGTGTGATCCTAGAGCCCAACTTCCAGCTTACAAGCTCAAAAAAACTGCATTTGTGCTCTCTGAAACACCCCCACACTGCAAACCATGAGAGCAGTGACTGGAAGAAATACAGGTGTTTGCCCCAAACATGCACTTCTGATGACTACTAACCAGCTAATACAGGCACACATAATTACACCTCAGTTACAGTCCAGATTCACAAACTGCTACAGAGAAATTACTGCCAGAATTCCTCAGAAGATGTCTTCAAGGAAGAAGGCAATTTGCAGCTAAATGGATATACAACTTGCATGACAGCACACTACTTTTTATATTTAAACCCCATACACACAAATAATAGCTCAGAATTAAGAAAGCAGCAATTTTTATTCCTACCAGCTATTATGGACTTACTGCTGGGGTTTTGCAGGAGCCTCTCATTCCCTCTCCATCTTGGCTGAAAATTGTAGAATTTTATGAAGGATTTAGGTGTTACTTGATTAATGACAGCAATTATACATGGGTGCAAGTTTAAACTAGCTGCTCAGCTGGTTGACTTTCTTGCAACACTATTTTTCTGAATTGAGAATTCAACTCTTGACAAAAAGTAATGCTTTTTGATTATATTAGGCTTAGCATGGCTTTTATACTTTCCCACACTGGAAATATAAAAAAATATTTGTATGGCATACTTTCTTGGATATTTATACACAGGGTATTCACCAACCATTTTTGAGTCACTAAATTTTATTTAAGAACTAAATATTTTCAAATGCCTTGCAAGTCAATAACTATTTTTTGTAGTCAGCTAAGAATGTTTCATCAATATACAATAATAAGCTTAGGCAAATAGATTTTTCTGATGCAAATTTGGAAAAAGTCTGTAATATCACTGTATCTCTACACCCCCTAACAACAATGATTTTAAACAAGTATTCAATATTTGACATTACTACTCCTCAAGCTAGAAAATCAGATTGTTTCGGCCCTGTCACATTAGGAAACTGCTGGGGTAGTTATTCAACTTCAGTTTCCCTGCAAAGTGAACTGAGATGCTGACTTTTTTATTCCTTTCCCCACATGGCAGAAGTGCATTGCAGGGACTTGAGGGAAGGAAAGCATTTCTTAATTCCTCTCTCAATCTGTTTATTCTTCCCTGCACTTGAAGCAAATTGAAAGAGACCATATGAATACCAAGTGACCAGCCTGATTAAAAATCAGAATTCTTGTAAAATGATTTGACATGAAAAATAAATTACTCAGTTAATACAAAATTCTTGTTGTAATGGATAAATTTGTATAAAAGTCTCCTCTGACTCATCCTGCAATATATATATATATGTTTTTAAAACAAAGAGATAAAATGCTTATATGAGAAAAAATATTAAAAAATCCAAATTGCCTTCCTCTTGTGTATCTGATATTTGATAGTTTAAGTCAGTTTGGGTTATGAAGGAAATACAAAATTTTAAAAAATAAATAGCATAGGAAAACAAAGTTAAGCTTCACTTGAATACTGATCTATGCATAAGCATTAGAAAACTATTGCATATTATCAGAATCATGCTGAATTCTTATGCTGTTTCTGATTTCTATAGCAGGTCAAAAAATCTTGCATTTCCATATGGGGATGCCTGCTGAAGACAGATTTTTTTTTCTTTTAATGCAGTTGGAACTTGCCAACTGACATAAATATCTTTGCAAAGTTTTTTACAGCGTAGCTTCCATAAACTTTTGAAACATCAAATAATTCTTTTCATACAGAAGTATAATTTCCAGGAGAAAAATACTCTGTTTCTTGGTTCAACACTTTCAGTTCCAAGCTCTAGACTATTTCTGCACTGTTTGAAGTCTAGCAGAGCAGAGCCAAGACATGTCAACCAGAAGAGAAATAACATGCTCTTTGGTTCTTTTGCTCCTCTACCAAAATTAAAAAGAGGATGATCCTATGAAACACAGAGTTAACAAAAATAAACATAGAATTAAATTTTAATATCTTGCAATACATGGAGAACAGAAATTGAGATACTACTGAATAACCCAGCTTTTGGTTTCACCAGAAATGGAATAGGAGATGTGAACAAACCAAGCATGAGAAACAGTAAAAGAATGAATCAGACCACAGAAGGGAGGCTTTAAGAGAAGCCTTTGCTGCCATGGGTTAATTTCACCAGTGCCTCTTTCCTACCCCATTCCACCAGGGCACTGATTTGTATACATGCATACACCATGTATGCACACACACGGAAACACAAACACAGCATCTGCAGCCTCTCCAGTTAGACACTAATGCAGCCAAGTCAGCTGGGACTGCGAGCCAAGTGCCATCTATCCTGACCCCAGCAAAAGCAGCACATCCATTTGCTACACTTTGCAGACCTAAATATGTAAGGTCCTTCTAAGAAAAGTTCCACCTGAGAGAGAGAAGACCAAAATGCCTGCTTCATTAAAGGGTCACATGGGAACTAAGTCAACAATTAATCCCCACAGACGTCACTGTGCAAACATCCAGCCCAAGGAATTCCAAGTCTGTTGGCCACAGCTACACACAGTACAATGCACGTGCAAAATTAAAACATTCCCTACTCCAATCTATTTCCATAGTTCCATTTTGTACTGTAACTCACCCCTTTTCAGCTAGAGGAAGTACAGTACATCTGAGAAGATAAGAAATATCCACTAACATCTTTCCCCTATTCCTGGGGAAGACAGGCTAGCAAAAGGAATGACAACCATACTATGTTCTATTAAATTACTCAAAAGTACATTTTACATGGGTTTAACACAATCTGGTCTACTAGAGGAACATATGTGTTAATTACAAATGAAAACTTTCTGTTCTACATAATTGAAAAAGAAAAAATATTCCATGCTCTAAAACAGGATATACATTTAAATTTGTAAGACTTGTAGAAACTGACATATGGAATAATAGGAGAGAGTATTGGAAGGCATCAAGGGAAAAGACTGTCAATACTGCAACAGCCAGATTTGAAGTTCTCTGCCAGCTTTACTAATAGTATAATAAGGAAAAGGGTTGAGGCTTTCCAATTAAAATAGAATGCTGCTGCTAGGAACTTGCATAGGAACAAGAGCATGGTTTAACAAAGTAAAACTCTTGGGCTTGGGATGTTAGTATGGAGACTCCAACTTCACAGCCACTTCTTTGGCAGCAGTTGCTTTGGACAAGGCTGTCTCTGCCCAGGCCAGTTGTGTTCCCTGTCCTTGCCACAGCCCAGCTGTGAACTGACAACAGCAACAGTGCACCCATCTGTTCCTGGTGCTGGAGTGGGGACCAGTGCCCTGGGCACAGCAGGAACCTGGGGACACCAATTCTTATGATGTTCATGTGTCAATAACTTCCTGCTGACTGTACCTGAACAACACTGGGAAAACACACAAACAGCCCCACAGGCATGGGGAAATAGAAAATGACTACTGAAGTGCATTTTAAGCAATATGAATTACTAAATCAAACATCAGCAAACCAAACTAGATAATACTGACACCTTTATTTTCAACTGAGAACTCTGGGAAGAAATGACTCTTACAACTACTCTAGACAGGGATCACATTAAAAGAATCAAATGGAGTAACCAGAGGTTCATAAATGCAAGTCATTAACCTTATTTTCCCTCAGAAGCAAGAACAGAATTAAGTTCTGCAAAAACATAAACAGTCAAAAAGTTTGTTTCTTAAATACTGTGACTTCTGTGAACATCAGGAACACTCCTAACCACCCACAAGTATTGCAAGTATCCCGCAAATTTTTTCATCACTTGAAACATAGAATTATTTAGATTGGAAAACACCTCCAAGATCACCATAGCATACTCATTTCCACACACCTTCATTCTAGAGGCAGCTACAGGTCACTGACCACAAAAACTTTGTTTACTTAATTTATTCTCTATATTAAATACAAATATAAAAGGGTGAACATTTCAAATATTTAACTTTAAATTAAGTGAATTAGCATCTTATTCTATCATACTGCCATTTGCTAAACAAACATATGTAGACATCCTTTTTACAGGTAATTTTTTATAACTCAGCTCCAAACCAAGCAGAAACCCCATGACTTTGAAGCTTACTAATAGAATCATTCATCACTTGAACTAATGCTTTAATTAGCAGTTATATAAAGGAAAGACATATTTTTTGTTGTGTGTTTTACACTGACTTAATGTGCAACAGGTGACTCTTCAATGTTATTAGGCTGAATTGCCTGCCATTAAAACTTCTTTTTCAAGCTTTTAACCAAAGATTTCTGCCCAAGAATAATGTTTTCAAACTTTTCCAACACAGAAATATTCACATTCAGTCAGTGCTGTAAAACTGAAATCCGAGTGATCATATTGTCACTGCTATACTTAAAAATGTAACATTTTAACTAAGTAGGAAGACAAGGGGTGTATTCTAGCATTAATACAGAAGAAATACACCTGCACTGACAGCTGATGAGATGAAAAAAACTCCTAAACCAAAACAATTATAAACTTCCCAGTAATGAATCCCATTGAACTCCTGTGAAAAATACTTCAACATAATGGTGCATTTTAAAAGACAGATCTGCAGGTAGTGGGAGTACACAGATGGAGAGAAGAGATGGAACACACCAGCTTGGAACACTCACCATCTGAATGGGTTTTTTGTGAAGATCTCGTTCGGTCACCAACTTTTCTTGGTCAGTGACATAAAGGCCTTTTTGTGCCAGGGCTTGTATAACAGCATCATGACCTAGAAGGGGTTTTGCAGCATCACTCTTGAGAATAAGGCTCCCAGCACGACAGTAGAGCTCGGCAGACAGCAGCAAGTTCACCACAGGTGGTTTAATGTGCTCCTGGTCATACTGGTCTGTGTAAAACGGCTCTCGGAGCTCTTCTGGAACATTCTCTACAAAACAGAGCACAAGTCAGTAACAGAAAGGACACTTAGACTATTAAGGGATTTTTTACAACTATATGTGAACTCAAAATTATGTTGAAGAAAGCTTAACCAAGGGGAGAGGCCAAAGTCTATGCCAGCAATTATGTTATAAAATTCTGGGGAAAATTTCATACAAAGGTAATATTTGAACCATAAATAGAAATTTGAGAAAAATTCAAAGTGTCTCCCACTGCAAAGGCCACAACAGAAGACCAACCTGTGGTTTACATCATCATTACATTAATGATGGCTTGGCTTCTCCAAATACATGCCCAAACATTCTCATTTCCTTTGGCATGATATTATATAGGTCAGACATAAAAAGGCAGAACAACACCATTTAAACACAAACCCTGGACTCTATTACAATAACAAAATGGAAGTGAAACATTATGTTTCAGCACAGAAAAATTCAAGACAAACAGCAGCCTTCTAGTTTCTGTATATGCAGGAGAATTTTGATTACAATACTGTTTATTTCAAAGGTCATGCATCACAGAATGATGACAATTCAGCAGTTAAGCATAAATATATGGGCTTTTGACTGAAATCAGAAGAATGGAGAAAGAATAAAAAATATGATCACTTTCTCTCTGACAAAATACTGAGTTCTTATTTGCCTTGTTATGTTACTGACTTCCCTTAAAATTCTGGTTTTAATACTTTTTCAGCAAGCTGGCTTAGCACCCACAGAAAGCTACGCAAATCTATGCTGAGATTTTTAGCTCCAAAATTAGCATTCCAAGACAATCAACAATTTTTTCAAAGACTGTAGACAACACAATACAGGCAGACTATAATTGTCTACCACAAATTTAGCAACTATATATTAATTAAATATGGTATTAGATGAAATTAAATTAAATCATGAGTCAAGTGGAAAATAACTTTCAGATTTTCAGGCATACACACTGCAAGATGCTTCATTTTCCTCCTGGAAGAATTTCATTCTCTATTGTTGTAAAATTAGTTAAGCCAACAACATTTATGGGATAAAGAGCATGTGATTCTTTTCCTGAGTCCAAATGTAAAAACCCTATTTAATTGCTAGAAGAAAAAATAAGCGCGTAGGAAAGCAGTGATGCAACTCAAGTTTCTATTCCCTTTGCCTTCAGCTGGATAAATGGCTAAACAGACAAGGTTTGAATCAGTCTGGAGTAAACAGCCCAGCAAGGGTGGAGGAGGAGAAGAGAGAGAAAAAACAGAACATGCCATCACAAGATAATGACAGATTATCTTCTTCCTCATACATATTCTATTGCAGTTCATGTGCTGCCATGATGGGCTCTGCAAGGTGCCAGCTGCCTTCTAGTTGTGAGGGAACACACGCTTTGCAGAATGCAAGAAGTGAAAGAAATATTAACACATGCTTTAAATGCTGGAAGGGTGGTAGGAAAGGGTAAGATATTGCTGCTTCTTTTGCCAATTCAGAGTATCAAGGGAAAGAGACATAGTTTGTCACTTGCTTGAACCATGAGCCTAAATTTGGCAAGAAAACTGACAGCTCTGCTTTAGAATACAGACCAAAATATACCATCAGCACAACTACTCTGCCCTTTAAAACACAAAGCTAATGCCTTTTCTTATCATCTTGTAAAGAAGCCCTACTTTTTTACAAGATGATAACAAAACTGCTAACAAAAATATCTACTGGTGTCAGGAGATATTTCCATCTTCTCTTCCACTTCCCAGCTGACTGTGATCCAGATGATGATCCAGAGTCATCCAGTCCAACACAAAGCATTTCTAATTGAGGATCTCAGAGCTGCTAGATACCTGCTTCCCCAGGTATTGTTTTCATCTATCTTAATTCTACCTGACCTTCTTTCTTTTCCCTGTTTGACTACACTCTATTTAAATATTAAACTTGTTATTTCTGAAGTCCCTAATGATCCATCTCCAGTATCAGGAGCTCAATTCTCACCAGGACTTTACCCTCTACAATTCCAAATGCCAACTCTCTTTATGCTACTTCAAGCTAGAGAGGATTAGAAAACATTTTTTGTAAGTATCTCACAATGCACAGGCAGCAGATTTTGCTTTTGAAAGAGACAAAAAAAAAACCCCACAACAAAAGCCCAACCCAACCAACCAAATAAAAACCCAAACCAAAATCCACACACCCTTTTTTGAAGCAGATGACAATTTCAATGGGGATGAGGGGAAGCAGGGAGGAACAGATAAAGACAAATGTAATTTCTTAGAAGACTTTAAAAAGCCTCATTCCTATATGAAAAAAACCCTCTTGAGGCAGGAGTACTTAGCTACACTCAAACAGAAGTCACATACTCTGTGGTTCAGATCCACTGAAGACAAAGACAGATCTCAAGCCTGAAAATCTGAGCCATTAGAGAAATCTCAAGACAGTAAATAACAAACCCAATGCCTGTTAATTCTCTTCTTCTGTATCACTGAAGCACATACAAAAGTGACAAGATGCAATAAATACATTTATCATTAAAGAATGACATCCGCTGCTGGGATTTTGTAATTAAAAACTCAATACAGCTAAAAAAAAAATCAACATGATGACTAGCAAAGGCAAATAGAATTATTTATAAAGCTTAGTTCTGCTTCTGAAAATACAGAAAAAGACAAAATGACATGTATGCCATTTCTTTTACTTCATTGGCATACACAAAAATAAATCTGGAAAAGAAACTTATTGGTCTTCATAAAAATAAAACCAGAAAAATAAATTTATTAGAAAAATAAAATAAGGAAACAAAGGGCTAGGAAGAGAAGCTGTGGCTACAGGCATATTCTGAATGTATAAAAAATGTGAAAGCACACAAACAAGAAATCTTTAGTGCAACAAGATCAGAATTATTTACAAAAATTCCTGTCAGACTTCCCTCTGCACAGGCAGAAACATGGCACTTTCCCCCACTTCAGAACATACATTAAACTGTTTGATATCAGAATAGCTCTTGATAGAAGATTCAAGCTGTGCTCTCATGTTAGAGTTGAAAAAGGAAACAAAAACCCCCACAGCAGATAGTTTTCTGTCTGTTACCTATCTCAGATAGAAGTCCTTCCAGAATTGGCATGTGCTGCCTCTGGAGTCCTGCAGCAGGGAATTTCAAGGCTCCATCAGTTCCCAGCAGATTACCAGCACAATCAGCAGGGTCAAGAGCCTTTATTAACAATTCTGTCAGGACTAGAGATTGTTACACAGGCTCTGCTAGGCAGAGAAGAATCTTAACACTAATCTGCAATGCGTGCATTTTACCAGTCTTCCTTTGCCCAGCTGACAAAGAAGAATCATTCAAGATTAAACTCTGAGGCAAATGACCCATTTTAACAGAAATACCTTGTTGCACATATTGCCATAAAACACCATCTGACCTTGAAATGCCTGGTAATTATGTCAGAGGGGTGTATGGGGACACTGAGTGCTAACACAAGCAATGCAGGTGACACAGGAGACTGGGGACAGTGCTGGAGACAAGGGGCAGGATCTGCCTGCACTCTGCTAGCGCCAACAGGCCTTGGAAACACGCACCTGGATAAAGGCAGGGCTCATGGGCCCATGCAAGGGAAAAGCTTTTCAAGAGACCAAGAGCACAGGTGCAGGTTGCCTGGGGACCCAGCTGCGAAAGTGCCATCCACAGGGACTCTCAAAAAAAGGCCCTGGGAAACCTCTCTAACTTTGAGGCTGGCCCTTCCTGGAGAAGGAAGCTGAACTAGATGACCACCCTATTTTTTCCTAGAATTGTGAGCAGGACCATAGCTTTGGAAATCATTTTGACATTTTGAAATTTGTAAATATTGTACTATGAAGAGAATTAATGCAGCTAACGGGCAAGTTCAAGACACAGAGAAAAGAACAAAAAAGAAATAATACCACATTAGCCCAAGTCTGTGACTCAAATTTAACCACCAAGCTAACTTCAAAAAAGTAATCAATGTATCTTCAGGTGATTTTTCATAAATGATCAATGAATGAAAAGTCCTGCAGATGCTCTTTCTAGAGAAGAAAGAAAAATTTAAGAGCTTATTCAAAGTTTTAAAACAAATGCAGGATAATCATTGCTCCCTGTTGTGGTTTAACCCCAGTTCCAACAAAGTTGCCCAGCTGCTTGCTCTTTACCCCACTCTCCCTGCTGGGATGGGAGGATAAGGAGGAAAGCTGGAAAAAGGTAGTTCCTGCAGGCTGAGATAAAAACAGTTTAATAACTGAAATAAAGTAAAACATTATAACAATAATAACAATGGAAGGGAAAAAGAGAGACAGTCCATTCCCAAGCAGCTCCCAGCCCCTCCCAGGCAGCTCCCCCAGCCCCTGCTGGGCACAGCAGCCATGGTTTGCCCTGGCCCTGGGGCCAGCTCAGCTCAGCTGTCCTGGCCACGCTCCCTCACAGCTCCTCCTGCACCTCCTGGCTGCCACGAGCACAGAGAAGTCCCTGGCTTAGAGACAGCACCAGTGAGCAACCACTGAAACACCAGAGTGTTAGCAACAGTGCCCTCACTCTGAACCCAAAACACAGCCCTGCACCAGCTACCAGCAAGAAAATTCTCTCTGTTCCAGACAAAACCAGAACACTCCCCACTGTGAGATAGAAATGCAACTTAACTTTCCATTTCAACAGACCATTTTAAAGGAAAGGAATGGTCTAAAATTAATTCATGCATAACACTACTGAATTTACCTTTAAAAGTTGCTTTATAAGAAAATCTCCCTGCTCAGATAGGTATGAATTACTCCTTGGAAGACAGTGTGAATTTGTTCTTTGGAAAAAACGGCTTGCGTTAACGTGAAAAGTCTACATTTTCTTTAAAAACAAATTGGGTTTTTTGTAAAGTTTCCATGCTTCCACAGAGATGAATACAATCCTTTACACAACTATTGAGATTTTCAACTTTATACCAGTAAACAATTTCAGATTTATGAACGCTTGCCTTAACAATGTCCAAAAGCTTAGAAGTCTTTGTCAACAAGGTCTCCATGTTGTTTGTTTGTTTTG